GGCGGCTTCCGGGCTCGGTCCCCGCGGCTCAGCTTCCGCCGCGGCCCTGAGTGTGCGTCTTTTCTTAGCGAAGTCCTGAGCTCTCGCTTTGACTTGCGTTTTCTCGGCGCCGTGGAAATCCGGCCAAAGGGAGGCGGTGTGGCTGCCCGGGGAGGAAACGGTCCCCCTGATCGACCCAGTCCGGGAGACTCGGCTGCTTTGCTGGCTCCACAGCCTCCCTCCACTGTTGTCCGGCTTTTAAAAATGCGTTTGTGCGGGAACCGGCAGTTAGCGTAATGGCTATGTCGCTGGACTCCCACGTAGTCGACCGCGGTTCGTGTCCCGGACCCGGTGGCTTAAACTCACGCCGGGCGCGTGTGCGTGCGTGCCCAAGATCCCGAGAGGAGAAGGGATTGCGGCGTGACCATCCCCCCTGGGGGGTGATTTCTCGCTTTCTGTCTCTATGTCTCTCTCTCTGTCTGTCTGGCGCCCTACAGTGAAAATCTCTCCAAAAAAAAAAAAAAGTAAAAAAATGCGTTTGTGCGGAGGTACGTTTTTATCCTAGGAAGTCAGGTGAAATAGTGAAAATACGCCACCTCATGGCTTGACAACAGATGCGGAAAAGCTCGGGTCACGTCCTGTGAAACTGCTAGAACGCGGGGGCTAGTGGATGGCGTAGAGTTATGTCGCGGGGCTCCCACATGGCCGGCCCAGGTTCGAGTCCCGGACCTGGTGCCTTGATAAATCATGCCGGGCGCGTGTGCTTGCGTGCCCAAGGTCCTGGGAGGAGAATGGAAAAGGGATTGGGATGTGGCCATCCCCTGGGGGTGAGCACTGTGATGTGGTTACAGGCGCTGGACTCCCACATGGCGGATCACAGTTCCAGCCCCAGGTCGTTGTGTTCCTTTACCTTCTCTCTCTCTTTCTCTCTTTCTCTCTCTCTCAGTCTGTTCCTCTCTGGTCAAATGAAAATAAAGTTAAAATCATTCGTTAAGAAAAATCTCTTTAAAAAGTGTTAAAAAAAATCTACTGAGAGTTCAATTATTTTCAAAATTATTGTATTTGTATGATTTTATTTATTTTTTAAGTAACACTGATTTTACTAAGAGTAAAGAATAGTGTCTAGGGACCAGCAGTTGGCGTAATGGCTATGTGTTGGACTCCCATGTAGTCAACTCTGGTTCGAATCCCAGTCCCAGTGGCTTACTGTGTGCATGCGTGCCCAAGATCCCGAGAGGAGAATGGAGGAGAAGGGATTGCAGCGTGGCCATCCTCCCTGGGGGGTGATTTCCCGCTTTCTGTCTCTCTGGTGAGTGCACACGCCCTATAGCGAAAACTTCTCCAAAAAAAAAAAAACAGTGTCTAAAGTAGAAATTTGCAGCCTCTGTTTCTCCATATGGAAGTAGGGGAAGGTGAACATTAAATTGAATAGGTTCCATTAATTTGGTTTTCCTAGAGGCCTTACACGGTATATTTGACAGTACAGAAAGTAACTTGGAAATAGTAAATGGGGAGCCAGTGACTAAATGTTTGACCACGTCTTAGAAAAAAATACAAGTGAGCACATCGTATCCTCATGTGCTGCTCAAGACACCACTTAAGTAGGTATGTAATAGGTTTTTAAAGCATGAGATTTGAGCAAACATCAACTGCACTGGTAATGCATGTGTTTTTTTTTTTTGAGAGAGAAATTTTTGCTCTAGGGAACATGCGCTTGCTGGAGAGATGGAGAGAGACAGCGAGACAGAAAGTGAGAAATCACCCCAGGGGGATGGCCACGCCGCAATCCCTTCTCCATTCTTTCCTCTCGGCATTTTGGGCATGCACGCACAGGCACCTGGCATGAGTTTCGAGCCCCCCTGTCCTGGACTGGAACCGCTGTCGGCCACCAGGGAGTCCAGCGCTGCAACCACTATGCCACCTACGGACCCTGGTGAGGGATGAACTTGACAAATCCTGAAGGCCGCATTCGGGGGAAGCCTGACCTCACGGGACCTCAGGCCGCCAGGCCTTGCTGCTCCGGAACAGCGGCTCGCCCTGGTGAGGTCTTCCCCAGCCTTTAGATAGCACAGTCTCCAGGGAGCCCCTGGGCTGCTCCTCTCCCAGCCCACAAGGGGATCGAGTCCCTTCCCTGGAGCTCCCGGAGTGGGCCTGACTTACCACAGCCCCTTGCTTCGCTTTGTGGTTCTCCACTTGGTCTTCACTGGCAGCGACTAAGCCACATGTCTTGGTAGCACCAGCGCCCAGCCCGGTGCCTGACACGGGACAGACAGCGAACGCGAGTTAAGTGAATACACGAGGTGCCGGAGGGCACCATCTTGTCACTGACGACTAATAACAAGGGAAGCTTTTCAGTTAAAAACAAGGGAGCTGGCAGGTGACACAGTGGTTAAGGCGCTGAACTCCCACGTGGCCCACCGTGATTTGGGTCCTGGGCTTGGCTACATGCCTTCTCACTTCCCTCTTTATCTTTCTGGTCCTTTTTTTCTTTTCTTTTTTTTTTAAGAGAGAGATTTTTGCTAAAGGGCGTGTGCACTTCCCAAGGAGACAGTAAGTATGAAGTCACCCCTCCAGGGGGATGGCTACACTCCAAGCCCTTCTCTTCCATCCTCCTCTTGGGATCTTGGGCATGCGCACCAGGTCCGGGCAGGACTTGAACTGTAGCCGACTACATGGGAGTCCAGCAACGTAACCATTACGCCATCTGCCAGTCCCATCTCTGGTCAATTTTTTTAATATAATAATAAATAAAAATGAAATGAGATCATTGAAAAGAAACTAAAGGATATTTTATCTTATTAAGGTCTTTTTTAGGAGTGTAGCAGGTGTGGTGGTTAAGGTACTGGATTCCCACATAGCTCACCATGGTTCAAGTCCGAAACCTGGC